CTCAATATCATATTTGTAATAACATAAAAAGGTTGTCAAAACACTTATAGTTGTATGAGGGACTACCAAAAGGCATGAGCATAGTAGTTAATAGCAGAGTGGCCACCTGCCAAAACCCATATAGCGGGATAGTGATAGCAGGATGACCATTATTTTGATCCCTATGTGTGTGAGTGTACTGATAACTAAAGAAAAACGCCTAAACATTAATACATATTCTGATTAAATTTAATAACCAAGAGGTCCAGAACTCAGCAGCAAAAGCTGCAACAGAACAACCAATAACCAATCCCAACACAGCAAAAAGCCAATCACTGTGTCCAAAAACAACCAAGTAATGAAACTAAATAAGCTTTAACCGTACAACCCCAAAGCAAAACAACTAATCTAAATTCTAAAATCTTCTAAACATCATGTTCAGCTGCAATGTCAAGCATTTCATCCTCATCTAAATTCTATACATGAAGCATACAAGAAAACTGAAGAATTTGGGCTTGTAATAGAGCTTTACATTTTTATCCTCAATGAAAACATTGTTCCTAATATGGAAATGTTGCCACCTTAAGGTGGCCAGGCCAGTCTGCTCTTGTGCTATGTTGGCGCAATTGCGCACTATCACAAGCAAAATCCAGCAATGGAGTAATGGTAATAGTAAGGTGATGAGGATCAAAGCAAATTTTGTGGTAAAATCTTCTTACCTGAGTATTTTCATTATATAAAAAGCTTCTCTACAATAACAAACAGGTTCCTTCCAGTCCACTACGAATCTCTTTACCTACCATACCCACACTTGCTTTTAGCTAAACACAATCAATGATAATTATTAAGTACGAGTTGATTCAATCACATCTAGCATCTAGAACAAGCTTATCTAGTCTAACATGCTTAACAGACTCATGCTTAAGCCTGATCATTTATCAATCAATCTATTCTACTTCTGAGCCCTTGCTTATAAATACAGAAGCTGACATATTTAAAAACACAAACTCCAGAAGTATATAAATTCAATTAAAATCACACAAGCTTTCCTAGTTTACAGAACAAAAGGCAAAGACGTCATCTAACAAAACTTAACAATCTATCACTACAAAACTCATCAACTCAACTCTAAAAATTAGAACCATTGTAACAAACACTCAAAGGTAAGACATGTGTTTGACAGGGTCAAAGGATTTAAAAGACATTGGGGTGTTAAAATGCAAGAATGAAGATGTTAAAAAAAATGAGCTGCGAGAAAGTTATTTGTCTATACATTAATAAACCATACAATAAAATTTCAGAATAGCAATCATCTCGCCATCTCATACGCCCCACTAGAAAATCATCCTGCTATCTATCACTTGTAAGACTTAGACTCCTCGTGAATTTGAAGAGCTAGAGGCTGGTATGAGTAAATGAGTGAATTGATGCATTGTGTTATTTTCTTTTGGCTGTAAACTGAGCAGAGGTTCTTTGCAATCTCTAAAGGAGCTAGGTCAGCGTTAGTAAATAAACATACTCCTCAATTCCCAACATTTGAAAGTTTACAATTTTATCTCTTCTACATGTTTGCAATGTGAGCATGCCATATGATATACCCTTAATGTAGAGTGCATTGGTGGGTGAATTAGGAAGAAACCAGGTGTCTAATATCTATAGTTCAAAGCCTTTAATTTTAACAACACTAGTAAGCCAGAGCATGAAGTAATTATACTAATCAGACACCTTGAAATTTGTTCAAAAACCATACATAGAAAAATAAATCAGAAACAATACAAAAAAAATAATAAATCAATTATGTAAAAACTAATTAAACAAATCAAACACCAAATATGATCTAATCTAGCAACAATTCAGACGACTATATTGGAAAGAAAAAATCACCTTAGCACTGGAAATTAACTGTCTCCTTTTTTGAATATCAGCAAACAAACCAGAATACGTGACTTCAAAACAAACCCCACGCTGCAATTAATAAGCGACGTTTTAATTATCACCTTCCTTTTTAGTTATAAGAAAACAAAAGATTAATAGTCAAGAACAAACCTGCATTGCTACTTTAACCATAGGCTGCTTCAATCTAAACGGCAATTTAGCTGAAAAATCAATTGAGATAATATCCACCTGCAATTATTTTTAATATCAGAGTTCAATATCAGAAGTTGTCCTTCCGTCAACATAAAGAATTATGTAATAATCAACACCCACATTTGAAGGTTTCAGAACAAGATAACAGGTTCGTAGAGTAAATTTTCATGTTCCTTTTATAGCAATAAAAAGGGGGGTTTTATAAGAAAAAGATACATTAAAGTAACACGCTGCTTGTTGATGTTCAATTATGTGCATAAGTACTGAAAACTGAAAACCATTACCAAGCAGTATTAAGGTTCAATTTTTTCTTCTTCTAAAAAAGAACATAATCTAAAACTTGATAGTGAACTCTACTAGCCAGTTAAAACATTCTGAAACCATCTAAACAATACATAAACATTGAAAGAAAGGTTTGTATCAGAAGAAAAAAAAACTGACAAAGAGAAAGAGGGAACATGAAACACCAAGTACGGACATTGACTACTGCAGAATTATCTCAACCTCAAAGACAACAGCATTTAACTGCTCTGCCTTCCCAATTTAGTGTAGAAAAGACCATCCAAGTCAAAGGAGATACAATTTATAAACTACCCATACTTTCAAAATCTCCAACACCTAAGCAATGTAGAACTAAAAACAACTTCCAGTAAAGGGCACATTAGATATAACGAACCTCCATTGTCTGACACGCAAGATCAAACGCGGTCTGGTTGAAGGGTTTAACAGCGACGAGATCGTAGGTCTTCAAAATGGGGTTCCCCGAATTGAGGGCCTGGGCCTGGGTAGCGCTGTCTACGCAAACGGTGAGACGCGTGTACTGACGGAAGGGAGTGGAGAGTGGAACTCCGAGGATGGAGCGGTGAAGATTGGCGGAGAGGGAGAGAGAGGGAAGAACGTTGAGGAGAGAGGAGAGGGTGAGGGGGGCAATGGAGCAACGGTGCTGATCAGACATGACGCCTTTGATCGTGCGGTTGTAAGCGATTCCGGTGTAACCCAACTCCATGGCCTTCACCGCAAGCCTGGTGCGGTTGCTTTGTTCGGCGACCTTGTTGGTGAGTGAGGGTTGGGGATAGGGAATGTTGAGATCGAAGTAACCCATGGTTGTTGTCGGAGATGAATACACGGAGTTTGGCGGTGAACAGTGAAACGCTTCTCCGGCAAAGACGGAATGTGTGAGGCCGCAAAAGAGAAGAAATAAATTGCGGGGTGGGGGGAGGGGGGATGGAGCCCTTTTCGTTTATTTTTCTTTTTTCTTATTTATGTTATTTATTTATTGAGTGTTTCACATGCACCTCCAAATTTTTTATTCTGCTTTCGAAAACTTGTTAAGAAATTGCGTTTGAAAACCAATTACCAAATAATCTTAACCAGCATTTTTTAAGTTTTTTTTTTAGGTTTACTTTTTTCTATTTAATAATAATAAACAATTAACTAATTTAACATTTTTTATATAATTTTTTTTTCACATAACTTAATAAACAATAACTATTATTATTATGAATTAAAAGAAAGAAAGAAACTATAAAAATAA